GCAGACAAGAATAACCGACGAGTAAATGTCCCCCAAGAGAAGGAGGAGCGAGAGGAGAAAAGGAATTTTTTGTGGGTTTTGAGCGTTTGGGAACAAATCAACCATGTTATACTGTAGCTTGTAGTATACATCAAGGGAATCTGTTCTTTTCTGATCGCTATCTATATATAATGCACCTTAGGTAATACACAACAACGCTGACTTTTTCTTCCACGATAAGCTAAACTTTTGACTTGGGTGCACTTGCATGTGCCTTGGGCGGGTCACATGTTCCCACCAGAAGTTGCGCATAGAAACTCGCTATGGACCGCTCCGTCGTTGAATCTTCCGCACTATTTAACAATGATATGAGCGTACGCCTTCGTCGTCGCAAAGTCAGTCTTCCACTTATCGCGACTCTCCCCCCTAGACGATTCCAGAAATGGGCTTCAGTTCGTGAAGGCGAGTGCTCAACGTCATCCGCCTCAAGTAGCCCGTAAGTGCTCAATTTATACATCCTCTGTAGGCAGCGACATAAATAGTGCAGAACATAGTTAAACACGTGTTCAATTACCATTGTTGTGCCGTTCCTCATGTTCTCTGGTAGGGATAAAGAAGAGATGTTTTGGGGACGGTTTTTGTAAGATGTGATCCTGATACATGTGATAGAATGCAATCAGTATCCCTTAGTAATCACTGAATCAATTCAAAAATTCATAGTTTAAATAACATAAGACTATGCAAAAGTAAAAGTCAAATTCATCCGACGGCGCATTGTAGAGCAACTGCAAACATGGCAGATGAGAGTCATAGTCATCTCCAAACATTTCTTGCATCATACAATTTTTTTAAAATTAAACTATTGCGCGAACAGCCAAATGATGACTTTTTGGTTCTTCCGTTCTGGCCATAACACGCTTTAGATGTCTGGACGTTCAGATCAATTCTTTCTAACCTTTTATTACCTGAAATTATGTTGCTACTATCAGACAATGTTTTTCGCCAGTCTTTTCCGTGGGGAGTAGGTTGAATGCGTAAATCTCATTTGCGAATCCAAGAGCAGGAAGTATGGCACTTCCTCCGCTGTTTCCGTTCACAAAGGCAATGTGTACAAGCGGGTTAAATATCGCTTAAAACGTCCTAAAACCACGCAGTAGTTAAACAGCCACCAAGCTCTTTCCTGAGCTACAAGTCGGCAGAACTCGTAAACCTCTGGAGCAACAGTCTTTGCGAATCGATGGTTGTCTCCTACTTCTCACTCTACTAATTGGTCGTGTTCGAGTTACCAATTATCGTTCCTCATGGGCCCTTTACGCCGGCAATGAATCACGAAGCATTTCTTCCAATGTCATGTTAGAGCTCAAGTGATTTGTAGTGACAGCTCACGCTCTTCGCACAGTGGTTCTGCTACTAGACATGGGCGAATACTAGGTATGAGCAACCCTAATAGGGGGCGGTGGGTGAGAAGAAATCACTGTTTCCTGGTTTCGATATGTTAGCTTTCTTCCAAGTATACCTGTCTAAAACACTAGTAATGAGCAGATTGAAGAGTTGCTAATTTCCATAATAGGGTTAGTGAAAAAGAGAACCACCTTTGTAGTTGACTCCTTTACGATAACGAATCAAATGAGGTTGTGGAGATAGCGCGACTGCCGACCTTCATGAACATAAACAATAATCACAGCTAATGGTGAAGACATTGTTATTTGCAGCGTCTGAGCGTCTGATAAGCGTTGAGGCCGCGTCGCAGCCTTGTCTGCAATCCAAGCGCTGTTATCTTTGTGGAGGCGCCAAAATGTACAATAATGAGGAATCTGGAAACTTATTAAGAGTGTTCTTTCTTTCAAAGCTTATGGTATATTTAGACAGAGGCATATATCAGATCTATGAGTGAATCGTTTAACTCCATTTTGTGGGAAGCTCTTTCGGTTTAATAGATAAAATTCCAACGCAGCGAAGTCTTGTCACCATGAGGATTGTGAGAGTGCATGGTGCTTTTTCTTTTAGCTTCTCTATGCATTTGGCTAATAACAGGTAAAAGGTTGTAGGCCATTTTGAATCTAAATAATATGCTGAACTTAGACGGCAAACCTTACTTCAGAGATACAGCAAGTGCATCGTAGATTACCAGAATTCATGCTATGCAAGTTCAGAATATTGTAGGTCAACATTTTCTGTACTGCGCTCAAAGTATTTCTACTTAATTCTAAATTGCCTAGTCTTGGAATCTCTTCGTTCAACACCAATTGTTCTTCTTGGTTCAGATTTCCATTTCTATTCGTCTCAACAATCTAATTACTATGTTCGCCAAAAAATAGTAATACACGTAACAAAGAAAGACATAGGGTCTTGCAAATAGTTATTGTAACAGCTTCAACTCGTCTATTGCTTCTTCTTCTACTTCTGGATCCACTTTGTGGTTGTGCGGTCTCGCACATCTAGATGCATCGCTCAAAAAAAATTCCCCATCAGATTAGTCAACTATACGTTTTGTACATAGT